TGACTCTGTCACTGGCCTGTGTTCACTTCTTCTCTCCTGTATGACCCCGAGTTGACAGCCTGTCAGGCTCTGCAGCTGTCTCTCTGGGCTGGGTCCTGGTCCCAGGCCATCCTTTGCGTTCATCTCATTGGTGTCCTGCCTTCAACAAGGATCGGATAACATACCATTATTTTATCATCAGATGTATTTAGCCTCGGGCGTAAGCCCCACCTGTTTCAGCTCAATTTCCGACCCAGCCCAGTTACACCAAGAGAAATGGCAGCGTTTAAGACGTAAGCAGCTCCCAGGCTCAGAGCTGCAAGCCGACGTCATGGCGCTGGTTATGAGTTTAGTGGAACCAGAACCCTTGGGCCGTGAATGACAGTTTCACTCAGCGTGGAGACCCTGCTGGGTTGTCCACGAGGTCAAACGTCTTTCTTGGCGTCTGCCTTGAAACCTGCCATAGACACACGCTTCTGGGCGTCGGCAGGGTAAGTGGAGCGTGGACCCTGGGATTTGGGAGGGCGCTGTCCCTGCTCCCCAGTTACGAGGGCATGGCCGGGAGCAGATGTACCTGGGTTGGCAAGGTGCTGGCCCCGCAGGAGAGAAGCTGCCTTGCGCCAAGCGCGAGAAGCAAGTGCGGTCGGGGCAGTGACCCGTGTGGACTGGAGGCGCTTGCTCTCCTCGAGGAAATTCAGTATTAGCCGTTCTCCTTTTTTAGTAAACAAATACTGCCATAGGGCAGCCAGGACCGAGAGCTTATATCTTTAAAGGAAAAGCAGCCAGTGGGACGCACGTGCGTGTGTGGACCCTCACGCAGCTTTCCTTCCGAGCCCGGCAGGGATGGAGGTGTGTGACCGGAGTGCGGCTTATCGAGCAGCATTCTGCCACGTGTATTTCTCCACGGTTCCCACACCTTCATACCTCGAGGTGGCGTTTTCCCAGCAGTGTCACAGTAAGGAGAGGCCGAGAAGGTGCTGGGAGTCCAAGAAGGGGAACCGAGCCCAGCCAGATGCCACGGACACCCCGCCACAGACATCAAGAGGCCCTGGCCTGAAGGTCGACGTGACTCCCAGGAAGGTCGAAGTTCTGGCACCGCCCGCAGGGCTGGTCCTCAGGCCTCTGGCATCGGCCATCCAGGGATGTGGCTTTGGGAAACACGAGCGACTGCTCTCCTCGGGCCAATCACGAGTTCCCCACACGAGGGTGATGTAGGGGTAGGAGCGCCCCCAGTGGGGAGGGAAAGCAGGCTGGGGTCTGCTGAGCACCTGGCGGGGTGACCTTGCCTGGAGTCTGACAGCCGGCTGAATGCATCCCCAGAAAAACACAAGCGCCCGCACTCCCCTCAAGTATTGACTGAGAATGTAAGTCCAGGCCCGGGGATTATCCTGGTGCGTGGAAAATCACTTGCACAAATCTCATTATGCTTAATAGTTCTGTAATGTTATTTTTCCCCCTAATTTGTAGACATACTTTTCTCCGTCATTGATTTATTGAGATATTTAACAACATAATACAAGCGAGGAAAACGATGCACAGTGGAGAGACAGAGTGGATGCTTCGGCAGCCGCCAGGGTTTTCTGCCTGCCGTGATCGCGGTGTGAATATTAGTGTGGATAAACAGCCCAGGGAATCACAAGTGGAGCCTGAAATGCTGAGTATGCTAATTTTGGAAAGGCAGAATTAAGCAGAATAAAAGTGCGAACTTCCTTCAGAAGGAAATTCTCTTGGTATGACTCCTCCCCTCGCAGCGTTTTTCGGTGTAAAGTAAATCGTGTGTTGAGATTCTGTATCAATATTTTTAAATGTTTTTATGAAAAATGCACATAATTCCTGGAGCTATGACAGAGCGCTTAAAATAAAATGTGGACTTTAGGTGACAGTAGAGGCAGGGGAAGTAATTCTTTTTCTTCAGTAGCAGGAAAGCATTACAGAAACAGCAGTGTAAAAGCCATCCAGAGAACCCACTGCAGCAGTGTTCGGGCCTGCTGCAGATGGTCTGGGAATGCCTTTCACACTCTTAAGTCCCTTAATTTCAATGGCCTTAAGCAGTATCCAGTTTCCAAGAGTCTGTATTTTTTCTTCAGTCTCTTTCACAGCATAAAATGATCTGTCTTTTTAGAGGGAAAATATTGCACAGTTTATTCAATGCTTAAAGCCCTTGGCACAGTGAATTGCTCATAGTAAGTGCTAAATAAAATGGTGGTGGTTATTGTTTACTGAAAGCTTGCCAGTGCCAGGCCCTGTGAAAGGCTGTGGGGGCACAAAGATGAATGGATGGGAGGACAGATGGAGGGATGGAGGGATGATGGATGGATGGGTAGATGGAAGGATGCATGGAAGGAGGAAAGGGAAGGGAAGGGAAGGGAAGGAGTAAGGAAGGGGAGATGAATCAGGTCAACTGAGATTTATTGAACTCTTGAAAAATTCAAGAGCCCAGTGGTGCAAACAGACAGGTAGATGTGAAGAAGTGTTCTGGAGGCCCATTGGCCGAAGGGGTGTAGGAGAGGGTCAAGGCTGGCCTCAAAAAGATGAGTCTGAAAGGGTGCAATGAGCTTGTTGATTTTCCTCCATCACCCCCCTCCCCCATAGACTTATAAACAGCCCACTGAGAACAGAAATCTCATCTGATCCCCTGTTGGCTGGAACAGGGCCTGACGGAAGAGGGAGCATTAAGTATTTGTGGATCGAATGCGTGGATGAGTGAGAGGGGGCAGAGGGGAAGGATGCCCGCCACCACGCCTGGGACTTCAGGCAGAGGGAGTGGCACGTGCAGAGAAGACGCACCCTCCGTGCCTATTATTCCCCGATCGTTCTTGCCAAACCAGATATAAATCACATATGACAATCATGAGTGTAAACCTTAATATTTTTAGAAGGAAAAGAAAGTCTTAAGCTATGACTTGCCATTTGGACATTATTAGTGGTAATGGGTAGCTTGGTGGAAACTACTATAAATGTGAATATTTAGAAATAGCTAATCATTGTACTCCCTTTTTGCCTGTACAGAGATTTATGCCTTTCAGGCCTCATTCACATCCATTCCTTCATTAATCTGTGACTACAAGGGCTGAATCGGTGCAAACTCTAAACCCTGTGCAAATACAACTTACACACTAGCTGTTTCTTTCTGTTTACTGTGATCCTCTCAAACATACCTGGTGTTCCAAGGTGTGTGATAAGGTTGGTTTCCAGATAACCCCCCCCCCGCCCCCGTAAAGCTGTCTGCACGTATGTATGCATATTCAAATGTGCATGGAGATTCCTCTCCAGATCTCCTGCTGTTTTTAAAAGATCGCAAACCTGTGCCTATAGAAGAATTTATAATTCATGAAGGATCACTATTTCAAATGAACGTTTTGGGCCCTGAGCCCACTTTTTACTGAAAGACCTCCTTAGAGATTGGATTTATATTTTATTTTGCAAACACTCACGGAGTGTACTGCTTACTAAGCACTTTATCAATATTAACTTGTTTAACCCTTGCAACACACCTGTGATGTAGGTGCCCTTTGTTGTCACCGTTTTACAGACGAGGCACAGAGAGGTTAAGGACTCTCCCTGAGGTCACACAGCTAATGTGCGGTGAGGCAGGCTTCACACCAAGGCTGTCTAGCTTCTTCCTTTTTCTCTGCACCTGATTTTCTGGCTTCAATTTCAATTTTATTAATGTTTTCCTACACGTCAGGGCTTAAAGAAATTCAATATGTATTTTTATTGTGGCAAAATACATAACATAAAATTTACCATTTTAACCATTTGTAGGTGTACAGTTCAGTAGCATTAAGTATATCCACGTTGTTGCGCAACCATCACCACCATCCACCTCCAGAACTTGTCCATCTTCCCAAACTGAATCTCTGTCCCCGTCAAACCCTAACCCCCCATCCCCCTCCCCCGCCCCCTGGCACCCACCCTGCTACTTTCTGTCTCTATGAATTTGCTCTAAGGACCTCCTGTAAGTGGAATCATATGGTATTTATCCGTTTTGTTTCTGACTTACTTACTGAGCATCCTGTCCTTGGGTTCACCCATGTTGTAGCAGGTATCAGAGTTTCCTTCCTTTTTAAGGTTGAATCATATTTCATTGTATGGATGGACCACCTTTTCTTTATCCATTCCTGTGTTGATGGACATCTGCGTTGCCTCCACCTTCTGTCTACTGTGAATAATGCTCTATGAACATAGATGTGTCGGTGTCTGTTCAAAATTCAGTATATTTTTTAAAATGTATACCTGTATTCGGTAGCACCTGGGCATAGATTAAATAACTACTGGTCTTAGGGCAGGTTTGATGCTGCAGCGCTTCCAAAGGATGCTCAAACTCAAGGGCGGCACTTCGGGAGTTCGGTTTGGCAGGCTAAGGCAGGGTCCCCAGGTGAGGGAACTAGGCCCCGGCAGGGTTGTCCCAGAGCACGTGCACCCCCATGCCAGCTGCCACTCGGCGCCTTCACCCCATGAGAGCACACGACCCGTTATCGATTATGGAAAGTTGCGCCGAGCACGCTGCAGCGACCACCCCAGGCGGTGGGGACAGCGTGGCAGCATCACCGCGAGGCTGGCAAGCTGGCTGGCACAAGAGGCGTTGTTCAAAGTTTTCTCCTTGACCCGCCGGCGGGATTGTCGTTTCCAGTTAGAAAGCAGTGGGACTGAGAACTCAGGTCAGTGGCTGGTGCGCGCAGGCGCCACTGGGCAAGCGGGTGTCCTCGGTGAGTCTGGAAGGTGGGCTTAGGGACACGTGGCAGGAGGTGGTCGGTAGGCAGCCGGAACCCTACACCAAAGGTGAGATCCGGTCAGAAACCAGAGGCCCGGGGAGCACTGGGGGAAATGCTTCCGCCCAGCTTGCATCCTTAGCAGAGTCTGGTCACCAGGGGGAGGCCCCTCTCCTGCCTGTGCCCCCGGCCCCCGCAGCTCACCCAGCCTCCGGCTCACATCCGTCTGCAGGGGAGGGAGCTGGGAGCTGAGGGCAGGGTGGGCATCCACGCGCAGGCGCCCTGACCTCTGCTCTCGCTGCCCTGCAGATGAAGGCCTGTGGGACATGTTTGTGAAGGACATTCCGCGGGGCGCCACATCCTACACCGCCAGCCTGGACAAGCTCAGGCAAGGAGTGACCTACGAGTTCCGGGTGATGGCTGTGAACCAGGTGGGCTACGGGGAGCCCAGCAGCCCCCCTGCTGCCGTGTCAGGTAGGAGCCCTGCAGGAACCCCGGGGCGATGCCCCTCCTTCGGGGGCAGGGAGGGTGACCTGGAGCCACGGTGACGGAAGGAGGACCGGCGCGCGCCTCCCAAGGAGCTGGGAGGACGGCGCACTCCCGACCACGCTGTGCTCCAGCCGTTCTGAATTCTCTCTCCCTGAGCACCGGAGCCACCAGCTCCAGCCAGGCAGGGTCGCCGCGGGGAGGAGGCTTCCCAGGCAAAGTGGAGCCCAAGACCCTCCATGAGGGGACGCGACCTCACTGTGGAGCCATGGGCCGGTTTTGAAAAGCAAAGATCGCCCCCAGCAGCCACCGGGGGGTGTGTTAGACCTTGACACGCGGTCGTGTCCGACGGGGGCCCCAGTGAGCCCTGCGCCTGAAGTGGGAGGTGCCCGCCCCCCGCCCTGCTCTGGGTGGAGCAGAGCACACGGGGAGGCCAGGCTCCCTTTCCCAGAGCTCGAGTATCAGGGGCGACAGACTCTGTCCTCACCAGTGACGTGGCAAGGGGTGTGGCAGCTGGGGGTCAAAGTGACTGCCTGAAAATCAGGAAGGGCTTCTCGGAGGAGGGAGCCCGGGTCTGGGTCTTGAAGGGTGCAGGGGGGCGGCTACAGGGAAGGAGAGCCTGGGACAAGGCAGAGGAAGTAGCAGGTGAGGAGCCCAGTGAGGACCAGCGGGTGGGGAGGGGAGGGCAGGTGAGCCTGGTCCCAGGTACGCGTGACAAGCGGGTCTCCACCCCGCCTGCACCTTAGGGTCACTCCTCGGGAATGCTTAGAAAACAGCCACGCAGGGCCCCACCCTGGACAGCAACTGCATCGCCGGGGGCACAGGCCTGGGCTTGATGATTGTCTAGCTCCGCAGCGGTCCTTCCATGCAGCCAGGATTGCGAGCCGGGCTGTAGAGGGGTTGAGTGAGGGCTGGCCACTGGAGGTCATCTGGACAAGGGAGCAGGCCAAGTCCGGGCCAGAAGCCACGAGAGCCTTCCTTCCAATCAAGACAAATCTGTTTCCCTTCCCTGCAGTCGCATTTGTTCAAGCCGCTGACTGCACTTATTCAGATTGAAAGCATCCTTCATCCTTTCCTGGTCGTGAGTCTGGGGGAAGGGTAGCGTCTTGGGCGCTCAGGCCCCTGGTCTAGGAGCAACATGAATCCCAGGGGCGCTCAGTGAGAGGGGCCGCAGGAAGGACCCGGGCACCACTCGCTTGTTTAACGAACAGTACGTAGAAAAGTCAAATTTTCCTCGCTTCCTTCATCTTTATTAAGAAAATTGTAAACACACCCCGAAGTAGAGAGAATAGAATAAGGAACCCCCAGCACCCATCACCCCAGTTCAGCAATTCAAGATATGCCTCCCTTGGTCCATGAGCAAGAAATCATTAGAAAGCAATTCCAAATGCACAGAGCTTTCAATTCCGCACACGCGTAGCCGGTGGCAAAGGCTAGTTCCTACATAAGCACGCGGATCCGGCCCTTGAGGTCACGGGGCACCGTGGCTGGACCGTTCCTCTGAAATCCATCGCATCCCCGCGCTGGCCTCGGCTTCCAGCTGGTTGGCAGTCCGCTCATCTCATGGTTTCGAGAAGCCAGCAGGCCGTCCCCTGCCGGCACCCCTCAGGCCCCGCTGTGCAGACCGGGGTTGGGGAGCCCGACCCGGGGCCGGAGTCCTGTAGCCCAATCCAGGCCTTTCTGCCCAGGCCTGCTCTGCGCCACTGCCCAGAGGTCGGCTTGGACGTGTTGGCCTTATTAGATGGAAGACTTAACGTACAGCCTGAAATCCGGCTCATGTATTTTGGATTTAAAGTGCTGTCACCTGTCAAGCCTCCCTGTGCTGTTACGTGATCCAGAGCAGACGTCCCCCTCGTTCCCAGGGTGCACACACTTCGCATCCATCCAGTGAGGTATTTAGCATAAGGGAGAGGTCTTTTCTGGGGGTTTCTGCTCCTGGGAGCCAGACCTTGGGCTCCACCTGTAATGGGCTTCCTGTTCCGTCCCTCACGTCCGATGCCCTGAAACAGGGAAGCTCGTAGAAGGCACGAGTGGGACCCCAGGGCCATCCGACACCTACCGAGAAGCAATTCCCATTTTTCTCGTCTTGGTAAACAGAATAAAACATGAGGGAGACGATCCTTCTTCAAAGCAACTTTCAAGTGAAACCTTTTCTGTTCGTTCTGGGAAAACGTTATCTAAGGGGGGCCCGTTGTTTGGCTCAGTTTTGCGGGAGGATCGAAATAAATAAAACACAGCCCAGCCTCCGGGGCTGGGGGCCCGGATGCAGCGGAGGAGGCTGACAGGTAGTCAGGCAGGCCCACCCAGCCGGAGGGTGCAAGCAGAGGTTCGCGGGCAGGTGTGGAAGGGTCCAGTGCTCGGCATGGGCAGGGCTCGGGTCACGGGGTTCCCAGGCTTAGACTGACCACACCCCGAGGCCAGTAGGGGCAGCACTGAGGCCTTTTAGGAGGGGCCGACTTCCCACCTGAGAACGCTCTCTGTGATGTCAAGGGTTTGAGCACAACGGGAAGAGGTGACATAGTTGAGCAGTGGTTCCGGTGGCCCGGGCAGTGGTGGTGGTGGCCCGGGGGGTGGCAGCGGGGATGGAGGTGGCCGGGGGACTTGGGGGCTGTCTGGGAGGGAAGCCCCGGCACTGGGAGAGATGAGCAAACCCAGGCGCTTTTGTTCCTCCCTCCCTTTAACCCAGATGACATTTGTAAGCAGATGAAATTGAGAGAATATAAACACGATGGCCAGGGTCCAGGACAGTGAAGTCTCTGGGGTGGGAGCGGCGGGGTGGGGAGGGGGGGTCAGGTGGTGACAGGACCCTGGGCCCAAAAGAGACGGTGGACCCAGAGCCTTGTCTCTGGGTCGGTCTACCCGTGACAACCCAGCCCAGGCAGGGGGTTTTACCCTCCCCGTGCCTGGGGCTGCCCCTCGAGCCCTCCCCTCCCCCGCTCACGGCAGGGACTGAGTTTCTGTCCCACGTGACCGTGCGCCGTGTCGCCCTTCAGCTCAGGTGGAGGCCCCGTTCTACGAGCAGTGGTGGTTCCTCCTGGTGATGGCGCTGTCCAGCCTGCTCGGCATCCTGCTGGTGGCGTTCACCCTGGTCCTGCACGGCCAGAACAAGAAGTACGGGAGCTGCGGCCCAGGTGGGACAGCGCCTGCCTTTCCCCGTCTCCCCACGGGGGAACTCTGGAGCTGAAACGTTTGGGGCTTCCCTCCTGGATCCGGGGTGCCCACATCCACATTCCATTTCATTCGATGAAACAGGCACAACAGACATCCCTTCGGAGGCAGCGGGTGCAGGGAAACAGGAGCTCTGGACCTCGGCCACCAGATTCTGTCCCAGCTCTGCCCTCAAGTGGGCCTTTGGGTCATTTGGCCTCTGTGAGTCTGCTTCCTCACCTGCGCTGTTGCTCAAATGCAGGAGTATTTTGTTAAGCGATGATTAGAGAGCGGAAAGCGTTAAACAGATGAAAAATCTCACTCCAGTATCACGAGGACAGTGAGTGGGGCACGTCTCAGGCATTCGGTGTGGCTCGGGGATGGTACAGAATCGTGTCTGTGGCCCAGCGCTTCTCACTAACACAGGGTGAGCACCTGCCTTAGGTCCCGCATCGCAGCTCTGAGCCCTCTGTGGGCCGGGTCCCCGGTGTTCCCAGCACAGCCTGGCGTGGCGTGTAGTAGGTGCTTAGTAGGTGCAAGCGTCCGTTGCTAAAGGGATCACCGTCATTAGAGAAATGGACAAACTTGGGCAAAGCCGACCACAAAAGAGCCCATACAGTGTGACTCCGTTTACAGAAAGGTCAGGAACAACCTAATGAATGGATGTTTCTAGAAAGCAGGATGGTGGGTGTTCTTAGTGGAGAAGTATAAGCAGCGAAGGTCCGTGAGGGAACCTTACGGGGTGCTGGGAACACTCTGATACCTCTGTGAAGCGGGGGCCAGCAGATCCCCCGACCCTAGCCCCCAGCACCATTGTCACGGCACCAAAAGGGTTCATAAAACCAGGCACCTAAAGTGCCTGCCATTTGCTTTTGTAACATTAAGCCATTCATCCCTCCAAGAAAGGATTTATTTTTTTCTGTATACATTCACTTCTAACAGGTGTTCGTAAATCAGATTTTATTCCTACGGGATTTACAGTGTATGAAGGGCATGTCATTTTACTGAGTTAACGCTATTACAGAATCCTATGTCTGGCGCAGAGACAATCTCCCCGCTTTCACTCTTCTTCTCCATCTGGGAAACAGACCTGAAAAGTCTGATCTGACCTGCAGCTTCTGATACTCAGCCTCACCCTGGAGCATTAATTTAACGTCATCATTGAAGCCCAGGGGGAAAGAAAAAAGAAAAGAAACACTTGTCTACCAGCATGTCCCCCTGCCTGCCCAGGAGACGCACAGAACCTAAACCTTTGCTGCTGCAGCCTCGTTCTAAGCCTGCTGCATGATCACGCTGCCTCGTACGACGTCAGAGTCCCCTTCCGATAACAGCTTCCACCCGCTCTCCTCCCATCAACCCAAATCCCTACGCGCAAGCAGCTTCATCTTTCATTCGCCACTCTCTGTGTTCTGCTGGCTTTTCCCCGTTGCACACGAGTAGTACGTTAAGGTGAGGTGAGGGCTGTGGGATCCCCAGCAGAGAGGACCCTTGCGGTTTAGAATGGCTGATGAATTTTACAGACACACGGGGAGCCCCTGGTGTGTGCTCGGGCAGCGTCCCGGGGCCTGGGATGTAACTAAGAGTGTAATTGTGCGAGCATAACTGGGTCTGTGCTCCAAGAGTTTATGGTCCGGTAAGGAAGACAGACAGATGACCACAGAGAACAAGCCAGCACAGGAAAAATGCAGACGTGGTGACGGCACCACGGAGAGAAAAAACACAGGGCGAAGACTTCAGGGTCCGAAAGTTCTCTCTGGTCTCACGACCCTTGAGCTGTGACCTGAAGGAGGGGGTGAGTGATAAGTCAGGAAGATGGCTGGGGGAGGGGCTCCCAAGGTCGGGGAGGGAGAAGGGGGGTAGACCAGCCCGAGCAGAGGGACAGCTGTGAGGACACACCAACTCTCACGCCAAACGAGGTCGGAGCCACCGGGACCTCTTCCTGTCCTCGAGTTACTTGTAACTTTGGCCGGCTAATGTATTTTAGAATATGTTTGGATATGTATTTATAGACTTATTTTAAGTGGTTTTCAGTTACATTCACAGACACATGTGACCATCATCACCACAGTCAGTTTTGGAGCATTTTCATGACCGCAGAAAGAAACCCTGCACCCTCTGGCTATCACCCCTTATACAGTTACTCTCCACTCGCTGTCTTGTTCTATGACTGTGAGGCTTTTATTTTGAAATGTATTGAATCTTTAATGTCCTCAATGGTTTACAGAGTTCACGTGTTCTGAGTGCTCTTTAATAAAATACTGATCAAAATACTCGGAGTTTGGTGTCAAGCAGGATAAACACCAAAATGCGAACGTCATCTTGCTGCGGGGTTGACGTGCAGCCTTTCTCCGCAGCCTGACTCTGCCTGTCTGGTGGGCTGACGCAGGCCGGCCCGGCCCTGGGCTCCGTCCAGCAGGCCATCGGGGAGCAGCTTACTGAAGCGTCTGTGCTCGTTTCCCCGTCCGGCTTTAGGTAAGAGCATCTCCAACGTGGAGGAGTCCGTGACCCTGGACAACGGGGGATTTGCCACCTTGGAGCTCAGCAGCCGTCACCTCAACGTGAAGAACACCTTCTCGAAGAAGAACGGGACGAGGTAGGGCTGCGACAGCTCCAGCCCCCGGTGCTGCCTCCCCCTGACGACCCGCTCGGCCGGGCCCACGCCCACGGGCCCCCCAGTGGGGCAGCGCCGAGCCGGGGTGGGGGTGGGGGCAGCGTGGTGTGGAGTTAAGGATGTTTTAAAGACATTTCCAGAGACAGAAGAAGAGGGCAGGTCTCAGGTGCAGGGACGCGGTCTCGGGAGATCTCCCGGCCCCAGACGGGGCAGGCGTCATGCGAAGCTGCAGGGGGACTGCGAGTTGTTTGCACTGGGGGCCAAAATGGTACCAGAGGCGGCGGATTTCTCCCACTCAGCCTCGAAGCAGGCCAGAGGGTGGGTCGGGAGGCCTCAGTGGGGGGGTAACTGGTGTCCCCGTCCCGCCCAGGTCCCCGCCTCGGCCCAGCCCCGGCGGGCTACACTACTCAGATGAGGATATCTGCAACAAGTACAACGGTGCCGCGCTGACCGAGGGCGGGACCCTCCAGGAGAAGTCAGGGGACGCCACGGAGTCTGAGGTGGGTGCCTGTTACACGGGGCCCCCACCCTCCCCAGGGGCCCCGCGACCGCACAGGGCAGGCAGAGCCGGGACAAGCGGCTCCCCTTCCCCGACGAGGAAGGTCCTCGCTCGTCTCTGGCCCCCAGGTCCGTGGCTCGAGGCTGGCTCCTAGGTCAGTCACTCGCCCAAAGTGGACGTCAGATCCGCAAACCATCCTCGTTCCATTTTGTTTTCAGAAAGAGACCCAGAGTTTTCTGGAGGTCACCGTGGAACTTGGTGGCCTCTAGACCCCGGCTGGGTAAGGGGAGCCCCGAGCCTGCCCGACTGGTACTACCTGGGACCCCCACCCCGGGTGGTGGCTTCCCCTCCCGCCAGCCTCCCTGCTTGCCTCCTTGTGCTCAAGAGGGGACTTTGGTCACAGCGTCGCTGGGTCAGTTAACAGGGTCAGGTGAGCAGCACGGGAGCCCTGGGACCAGGGAGACCCCGCCCCGAGGGGCTGTCAGCCTCCAGCCGAGAGCCCCGGGACTCTGCCCTGCACGTCTCAGGCCTCCTTTGCGCCTGGGCACTCTCCGTGGAGCTGAGCGAGTCCTGGGTGAGGCCTCCGTCGGGGGTGGGCAGGGGGCATTCCCTGGAGGCAGCCGTGGCGGCGTCTCCGGGAGGGGCCCCGCTTCCCCCACAAGCGCCCCAGTCAGTCTCTCACGTTCACGAACAAAACCAGTTGAAGCAGCCGGTAGAGAGCTGGGGCCCGGTCAGTCCTAGACTGTTTGGTTTCAGCGGTGCTGAGCCTTGACAGGGATGAAATTCACCAAGCTCTTTGATGGACACGCAGGCCCGCCCCACCCCTTGGCATTCATACTCTAAATCAATATTTAATCTAAAATAAGTCTCACCTTCATTCTGATCTGAATTCAGGCCTTATTGAGCCCTGAGGCTCAATAGAATGGCTTCTTTTAAATTGTGGCTTGTGTATGAGCTCACTGTGGGACCGGGGCAGCAGGGGGATGGCAGGGTGGCACCAGCTCGCTCCGTCGGCCCCACGTGCTCTGTTGACAAGGACGCCGGGTCCCCCGTCTGTACTGTAGCCGTGGGCACGGGGAAAACAGCAAAAGCAGCACTGCACACGTTCAGAAGGAACATTTGTCTACGGTTGAGGGGCTGTAGATTTTCAAGTGAAAAGCTGCAGACACCGACCTGCCTCTTCCTGATAAGGAAGCCGCAGCTTGTACCAAAAGCAGCACATTGGGAAGGGGCAGCTCCGCCGTCCAGCACGTTCTGGGTCAGCGATTAGAGACAGTCACCAGCACGTGCCTTGATCTGTCCTCGGTTCCTGGGCCTGCTGCTCTTAGACCGTCAGGCCTCACGGATGGTGTTCGCAGTGACTGGGCATTAGCTCTGCGGGCTGCGCTCTTCACGGTTCCGCGTGCGCTGAGAACTAATTGGGCGCCTGCTCTGGGCCGGGCACGCTCGTTCAACGCTCACACCAGCCCTGCGAGGTAGAGCGGTTCTCGTCCTTGTTCACACAACAAGCCTGAGGCCAAGGTCGTCCCACATGCAGGTGCTGAGGCTGGACGCACCCCCACACACCCCCCCCCCCCCGAATGTGTCCAGAGCTTACTGACCCCCGCCCTCAGCATCTCCTGCAGCCCAACTCCCAGGCACCTGTGGCCATTCCCAGCGCTGCCAGGTCTCGATTCGTCAGGTCTGGACTCTTTGTTCATGAAAGCCTTCTCAGAATGGGTTGATGGGAGGCATTCAGCCTGTTTCTCCTCTCACACATGTGGGTGTTTTGAGATTCAGATTTCAGCTGATTTGCATGGAGGATTATTAAATGCGTGCAGGCACTGAGCTAGGCATATACACACAAGCATACGTGCACACGTACACGCATTCCTAAGTGCATACACGTGTACACACGTGGGGGAAGAAGGCAGGGAGGGAGGACGATGGGGGGAGGGGAGGAGAGGGACGTGGAATCCACAGTACGTCCTGCCAGGAGGTTGTTCGGATCCTCACGTAATAGATCAGAGCCGAGGCTTGACGAGGCTTTTTGTGTGTGTGTGTGTGTGTGTGTGTGTGTGTGTGTGTGGTGCACGGGCCTCTCACCGCCGTGGCCTCTCCCGTTGCGGAGCACAGGCTCTGGACGCACAGGCTCAGCGGCCATGGCTCACAGGCCCAGCCGCTCCGCGGCATGTGGGATCTTCCCTGACTGGGGCACGAACCCGCGTCCCCTGCATCGGCAGGCGGACTCTCAACCACTGCGCCACCAGGGAAGCCCTTGACGAGGCTTTTGAACATCTTCCCCAGACACACACTGATGGGCCTCGGGCTCGCAGTTCCATCTCTCCTGCCAGACCTGCTGTGCAGAGCTGAGCTGTCGTAGCTAGCCCCGGGACGTGTGGCTGAGTGAAGGAGGGACCTTGGCAAGCCCTGTGCCTGGAGGAAGGGGTTCCTTCTATGATTCCCACAGATGCTTTTTGGGTCCTAATGCTTTTTGGTTCAAGAAAGTTGATCAAAGGTGTGGATGCTCTCTCCACCCAGGATTTTCACCTTGAATCTGGGGCTCCAGGCCCCCCTGAAGCCTGTGGTAGTCGCCTCCAGCGAAGGCCCCGTGGAGTCCAGGCTAAGAATTCGCATGTCTGGGCTCTCTGTGTGCTCCTGGGTTCTCAGGTAGATAGGATGAGGCCCATCTTTCTTCCAGAATTCTGTGCTCTATAATCTTGCTGGGTCCCGACATTGACCCTTATGATTTGGGAGAGTTGTAGGCAGATGCGTGGGATCCCAACAGAGGGATCTTGGAAGTGCCAGCTCCAATGGGAACATTTCCTTTGAACCACATCTTTTAAACAACCAGACTGAGATGTAATTCACATACCACACAAGTCACCCATTCGCCATATTGGTTATTTAGGTGTGTGTGTTTTAGTTTCCTCAGATTTATGAGCTTCTCAAATCTTCTTCTGTTACTGATTTTTAATTTCATTCCATTGTGGTCAAAGAACATACTTTGTATATTTTCAGTCCTTTCAAATTTATTGAGCCCTGTTTTATGGCATAGCATCTGGTCTGTGTTGCAAGAATTCACTTGAAAAGGGTGTGTTGCTCTGCTGTTGCTGTGTGGTGAGTTTCGTGTGTGTCTGTTACGCCTGGTTGATTTACAGTGCTGCTCAAGGCTTCCACACTCTTATCTTCTGCCATCTGCTGCGCTGAAGTCTCCAACTATCATTGTTAACATTGTCTATTTCTCACTTCATTTCTGTCAGTTTTAATTTCATGTATTTGCAGGCTCTGTTTCTAGGTGCATATATGTTTATAACTGTTGTATCTTCGTGATGGATAGACCCTTTTTATTAGTACAGAGTGTCCCTCATTGTCTCCAGTAACAATTTTGTCTTAAAGTCTATTTGGTCTGATATTAGTACAGCCAACTCCAGTTCTCTTTTGGTTCCCGTTCACATAGTGTATCATTTCCATCCTTTCACTTTCAACCTATTTGAATCTTTGGATCTAAAATGTGTCTCTTGCACGCAGCATATAGTTGGATCATGTTATTTTATTTGTTCTGCCAATCTCTACCTGTTCACCAGGTTGTTTAATCCATTCACATTTAATGTAATTACTGCTAAGGCAGAATTTACCTCTGCCATTTTGGTGTTTGCCTTCTATAAGTCTCATATCTCTATTTCTCTCTTTTTCCTTTGCTGTCATCTTCTCTTTTGAGTGGATATTTTCTAGTGTACCATCTTAACTCCCTTGTTTTGCTTTTGCTATATATTTTTTCAGTTATTGTTTATAGTGATTGCCCTAGTATCAGTATTTGCTTCAGATTTATACTAAATCTCTATATTTCTGTATAGATCTATTCCCTCCTCCCCTCTTTGTGTTATTATTATACATATTAAGTCCATATATGTGGCAACCCCAAGAATGCATTTTTATAGGTATCCTTTGATAGAATTTTGTGTCTTTTAAAGAAGTTGAGAGAAGAAAGGTGAGCAAGTATCTATTTAGAGTTTACCATTTTAACCTTTTTATCTCTGGTTCTCTTCATTTCTTTATGCCTCTTTGCACAGCTATTGTTAAGTATGTTACATTTCTATATATTATAGGCCCAACAATACAATTATATACATATTATTTTATGAAATTGCTATTTAAATCAGATAAGAGAAGAAAAGAGAACAAATAGGTAATTATACTGTCTTTTATAATTCCCTATGTAATTACCTTTGTTGGTGCTTTTTGTTTTTTCATGTGGATTTGAATTACTCTCTGGTGTCACTTGCTTTCAACCTGACAATCTTCTTTTAGTGTTTCCTGTGAGGCAGGTCAGCTAGCAATGAAATTTCCTGTTTTTGTTTATCTCAGAATGTCTTTATTTCGCCTTCATTTTCAAAATAGTTTGTTGAATATAAGATTCTTGGTTGACAGTTTTCTTTCAACACTTTGAATGTGTGACCCCATTGTCTTCTGTCCTCCATTTTTTCTGATTAGAAGTCAGCTTTTAATATTATTTGAGTTCGGTTGTTCTGGTTAAGTCATTTTTCTCTTGCTGACTTCAAGAGTTTCTTTTTGTCTTTGTCTTTCAGAATTTTAACTATGATGTGTCTGGGTGTGAATCTTGTTCCATTTATCTTACTTGTGGTTCATTGAGCTTGTCAAGTGTGTAGACTTTTTTTTTTTACCAAATTTGGGATGTTTTAAGTCATTATTACTTCCAGTATTTTCTCTGCTTCTTTCTTTCTCTTCTCATCCTGGTACTCTCACTATGCTTATGTTGGTGCACTCAGTACGTTCTCACATTTGGTGCGTGCTCTGTTCTTTGTTCTTTCTTATTCCTTTTCCTGTTCGTTTTTCAGATTGCATAATCTCTATCATTCTATCTTCAAGTGCACTGAGTCTTTCCTCTGTCAGCTCAAATCTACCATTGAGTCCCCCTAGTGAATTTTTTTTATTTTGGTTATGGTATTTTTCAACTCTAGAACTTCTCATTAGGTTCTTTTTAAGTCATTTTGTCTCTTT